AATGAGTCAGGGAACAGAGAAGTCAGTCATCCACTTGGATACTGACAGAAGTGGTGGTGGATAGATAGACTGGAGCCTGGTGCTTCCTTCTTCAAGGAACGTGAATGAAGGGGAAATGACCATGAGATTGGCATTGACTATTGGAAAATCATCAGTTGAGAAACCAACAGCAATGAATTGGGCTGTTTAAAAACAAACAAACATTGGGACCAGCAGTTGGTGTAATGGCTATGTCACCGGACTCCCATGTGGTCGACTATGGTTCGAGTCCTGGACCCGGGGACTTAAACTCACGACAGATGCATGTGTGTGCGTGCTCAAGATCCTGAGAGGAGAAAGCAGAAGGGGTTGTGGCGTGGCCATCTCCCCTGGGGGGTGATCTCTCACTTTCTGTGTCTCTGTCTTTCTGGTGAGCGTGCATGCCCTATAGCAAAATCTCTCCAAACAAACAAACAAACAGCGATTTACAGTTCAATGATTTGGCTTCATCAGAAACCTTTGAACAAGAAATTTCACTCCTGAAAGGTTTAATCTACTAGAAATAATTCAATCAGGCAATGTATTAAGATACAAGCTAAATGTCCAATGTGGAATTAAGGCAATACATTATAGTACACTCATTCTCTGAGATACAATATTTCCCTTTCAGTAATGTCTCTCATTCTCTTTTTCAATTTTTTTCTGTAGGGCTCATGCATTTTCAATTTTTTTGCTATAGGGCTCATGCACTTGCCAGAGAGACAGAACAAGAGAGAGAGAAAGGGAGGGAAAATGAGAAGTCACCCCCCCAGGGGGGATAGTCATACCACAGTCCATTCTCCTCTAATCTTCTTTCAGAAAATTGAGGATGCACACATATGCCCAGTGTGATTTTCAAGCCACCAGGTTCAGGACTCGAATTTCACAGATGGCCATGTGGAATCCAGTGCCTTAACCTGCATACCATCTGCTGGCTCCATAATCTGTTATTCTTTAAAAAAAAATTAGTCATTATGGTTTTCTTTTTTATTTTATTGCTGGAGGGCACATGTGCTTGTCAGACAGAGAAAGAGAGAAAGCACATCCCAGTGGGACATGGTCATGCCACAACCCCTTCTTCTCCATTTCTTTATCCTGTCAGTATTTTGAGCTCCAGCCTACACATGTAGGTTTGTTGTTCAAGCCTCTGGGGCCAGAATTCAAACTGCAATCAGCCACGTAGGATCCTTCTCCTTTAATGTCTGTGCTATGGAGTTGGCCCTATGTTAGTTTAATATTATATTCAATGTTAAATTTTTCTTTTAAAAGGAGGCATATATATTTGTGCAGAGAAAAACACTGGAGTAGAGTTAATGTCAAAATGTAGTCAATGGCTAAGAATGGATTGTGGGTAATTGCTTTCTGCTTTGAACTTATCTGTTTTTCTATAATTAACATGTATCACTTTTATAATAAAAAATCAAAGAAGGACTGTCACACTTTCAATAAGCAAAAAGATTTGTACATGTCTCTAGATAAATAAGGCCCTAATCTGACCCCCCCTTTATTTTTAGACATCTCCTCCATTTGAGGTTACTTTTCCGACTTCTATCTCATGCCCATAACTTGGAATCTTGAATGTTATGGTTTTCCTGCCTGTTTCACTATTGTTTTTTCTATCTTTCTGTTCATGCTCCCATCCCCATTTAGCAAATAAAATCTTTCTCTTTTTTCATAATCCTTTTCAAATCTGACTTCCTTTAAGTAATACCCTTATTTTCTCCTAGTCTAAAATTGTCCTCCTTTAGGAAATTTCTGAAGCCAGAAATACAAAATAAATTTTGAGCTTATTTTGTATTTTTAATCACAATTTTCTTAGAACTAATTATATACACACACACACACACACATATACATACAAACACACACACACATGCATACATTATGCCAGAGGGCATGTGCACTCATCAGAGGGTGACAGAGAGAGGAAGAAAGCACACACCAATGGGGTGTGGCATGCCATGATCCCTTCTCTTCCATCCCTTCATCCTGCCAGAATTCTGGGCACTCATACACATGCCTAGAGTATTTTTCAAGCCACCGATTTCAGGATTCAAACAATGTGGTTGGCCATGTGGGATCCAGCTCCCTTTACTAGGCAACAGGGCTGGCCCACCATCATATAGTTGATGATAGCGAGCACATGTGAGAGAGAGAAAGAGAAAGAGTGAGAGAGAAAGCACCCTCTATAGTGTCTTGTCACACCATCATCCTCTTTCCTCAGCCTTTCAGCTCCCCAGGATCTGGCCACCTATGCATGTGCCTAACATGATTTTATGCCCATCCAGAGATCACAAACCCATAGTTGGCCATGTGGCTTCCAGCACTATACTATGGACTGCATCACCTGGTTGTCCCTTTTTTTTTTTTCTTCTTTTGAGAGAGAGCTTTTTTGCTATAGGGTGGATGCAATCACCAGAGAGAGAGAGGAAGAAAGTGAAAAATCACCCCCAGGGGGAGTCATGCCTCAATCCTTTCTTCTCCACTCTCCTCTTAGGATTTTGGGCACCCATGCACACACCCCACATGAGTTTTAAGCTGTTGGGTCCAGAACTCAAACCGCAGTTGACTACATGAGAGTCCAGTGACGTAACCGTTACACCACATGCTGGCCTCATTGCCCCATATATGTTTTTTGGGAGAGGTTTTTACTATAGGGTGTGTGTGCTCGCCAGAAAGACAGAGAGACAGAAAGCGAGAAATCACCCCCCAGGGGGGATGGCCATTCCACAATCTCTTCTCCTCTGTTCTCCTCTCGGGATCTTGGGCACACATGCACACGCGCCTGGCGTGTGTTTAAGCCGCTTTTAATATTATATTCAATGTTAAATTTTTCTTTTAAAAGGAGGCATATATATTTGTGCAGAGAAAAACACTGGAGTAGAGTTAATGTCAAAATGTAGTCAATGGCTAAGAATGGATTGTGGGGAATTGCTTTCTGCTTTGAACTTATCTGTTTTTCTATAATTAACATGTATCACTTTTATAATAAAAAATCAAAGAAGGACTGTCACACTTTCAATAAGCAAAAAGATTTGTACATGTCTCTAGATAAATAAGGCCCTAATCTGACCCCCCCTTTATTTTTAGACATCTCCTCCATTTGAGGTTACTTTTCCGACTTCTATCTCATGCCCATAACTTGGAATCTTGAATGTTATGGTTTTCCTGCCTGTTTCACTATTGTTTTTTCTCTCTTTCTTTTTTCTATCTTTCTGTTCATGCTCCCATCCCCATTTAGCAAATAAAATCTTTCTCTTTTTTCATAATCCTTTTCAAATCTGACTTCCTTTAAGTAATACCCTTATTTTCTCCTAGTCTAAAATTGTCCTCCTTTAGGAAATTTCTGAAGCCAGAAATACAAAATAAATTTTGAGCTTATTTTGTATTTTTAATCACAATTTTCTTAGAACTAATTATATACACACACACACACACACATATACATACAAACACACACACACATGCATACATTATGCCAGAGGGCATGTGCACTCATCAGAGGGTGACAGAGAGAGGAAGAAAGCACACACCAATGGGGTGTGGCATGCCATGATCCCTTCTCTTCCATCCCTTCATCCTGCCAGAATTCTGGGCACTCATACACATGCCTAGAGTATTTTTCAAGCCACCGATTTCAGGATTCAAACAATGTGGTTGGCCATGTGGGATCCAGCTCCCTTTACTAGGCAACAGGGCTGGCCCACCATCATATAGTTGATGATAGCGAGCACATGTGAGAGAGAGAAAGAGAAAGAGTGAGAGAGAAAGCACCCTCTATAGTGTCTTGTCACACCATCATCCTCTTTCCTCAGCCTTTCAGCTCCCCAGGATCTGGCCACCTATGCATGTGCCTAACATGATTTTATGCCCATCCAGAGATCACAAACCCATAGTTGGCCATGTGGCTTCCAGCACTATACTATGGACTGCATCACCTGGTTGTCCCTTTTTTTTTTTTCTTCTTTTGAGAGAGAGCTTTTTTGCTATAGGGTGGATGCAATCACCAGAGAGAGAGAGGAAGAAAGTGAAAAATCACCCCCAGGGGGAGTCATGCCTCAATCCTTTCTTCTCCACTCTCCTCTTAGGATTTTGGGCACCCATGCACACACCCCACATGAGTTTTAAGCTGTTGGGTCCAGAACTCAAACCGCAGTTGACTACATGAGAGTCCAGTGACGTAACCGTTACACCACATGCTGGCCTCATTGCCCCATATATGTTTTTTGGGAGAGGTTTTTACTATAGGGTGTGTGTGCTCGCCAGAAAGACAGAGAGACAGAAAGCGAGAAATCACCCCCCAGGGGGGATGGCCATTCCACAATCTCTTCTCCTCTGTTCTCCTCTCGGGATCTTGGGCACACATGCACACGCGCCTGGCGTGTGTTTAAGCCGCTGAGTCCGGGACTTGAACCGCGGTCGACTACGTGGGAGTCCAGTGACATAGCCATTACGCTAACTGCAGGTCCCCATATTTTTTAATCTTTGCGTGTCATGCTATAAGTGCATTAAACTTTCATGTGCAATTAACATTTTAGATGCATTTTTTGAGAGAGATTTTTGCTATAGAACACATGCACTTGCCTGAGAGGCAAAGAGACAGAAAGAGAGAAATCACCCCCTAGGGGGCATGGCCACAACACAGTCCCTTCTCCATTCTCCTCTAAGGATTCTGGGCACACACACAGACACATGCCTGGTGTGAGTTTTAAACTACTGGGTCCAGGACTTGACCCCTACTTGGGAATCCAGTGACATAACCATTACACCATCTGCTGAACACAGATGCATTTTAATAATATATGAAACATGGGCATTATCTTTGCCATTATCCCATGTCTGTGCTTTATTTGTCATGTGAACTATATTCTCTAGTGTTGAGGATAGCTGTTTAAAATATTTCCTGAAAAATGACCTAAGCATATAAATTCCTATTAAAAAAATTGTACAATATTTTAATGAACTGTTTCCTTGTCTTTCAGGTGGATACTACTACTGGTCATTGTGATGGCCTTGAACTGTCAGAGCCTAGAATCAGAGTTTTAGTTGGTTGTATTTCCTCTATTAAAAAAAATATTGTCTATATTAATAAAAAAACTTACTTCCCTCTCAACAATGTTTCTGAAGGTATGATTTACATTTTTAAAAACATGTATCATTTAAGTGTTTGAGAGAATTTTATTGTATAACTTTTTCTACAGTGTACTTGACTTCAGTTGGTGGATCTTTGGAACTGAAAGTAATGTGTGCGATCAGCAGGTGGCGTAGTGGTTACGTCACTGGACTCCCACATAGCTGACCATGGTATGAGTCTTGGACCTGGCAGGTTAAAACTCACACTGGGCACATGTGCATGTGTGCTTAAAATCCCGAGAGGAGAATGGGGAAGAAAGGATTGCAGCATGGCCATTCCCCTGGGAGGGTGACTTCTCACTATCTGTCTCTCTGTCCCTCTCTGGCTCACGTGCCCTATAGCAAAAAATCTCTCTCTAAAAAAACGAAGTAATGTGCAACATAGGTGCAAATAGGTAATATTTCTAAAAACTCATACTATTATTATTAAAGAATTATTTATTTAATGTTATTTATTTATTATTATTATTTAGTATTATTTAATTTGCTATAAGGCATACGTGCTTACCAGAGAAAGAGAGGAAGAGAGAGAAAGTGAGAAAGCAAGTTACCAAGCCCAGGACTCAAACTATATTCAGCCATGTGAGTCCAGTGCCTTAACCACCATGCAACCTACTGGCCCCCATGCTATTGATTTTTATGTGTTCATTTGTTGAATTGAGTCAGTAATGTTTGGGTAATTTTTATTCATTTAAGTATTTAATTTTTAATAAGCTCAAAAATAGTTCTGCAGGGTTGCTAGGGATACTATTTTTATGCTTCATATGCTACAGAATTAGGTTTGAAGGTAACCTTTCTATTTATGTGTGTGTACATGTGTGTTTATTGTTGAATTCTATTTATAATTAACAGTTATGTTTTAAGATTTAATTTATACTCCAAACTACACTTCGTTTTGTTATTTGAATCTAATGCAACTGTTACATAACTTGAGTATAAAAGAGGAGAGTAGAGTGCCAGATGGTGGTGCAGCATTAAAATGTAATACTCTGTGATGCTGACTCACATGGGAAAGTTCCAGTTTTGTGCCTGAAGACCTCCCTCGGTATGCCAGGCATGTGAGTGCCAATGATCCAGGGCTGACTGAAGTCGGAATTAGATCTCAATATCAAGACTCTGTTGGGGTGTTGTTCCTCTGCCTCTCCCTCTGTTTCTCTCACTCATGGAAGAAATTATTAAATAACCTTCTTTTTTAATTTGCCAGAGGGCACATACTCTTGCCAGAGAGAGATGGAAAGGGCAAGAGAAATGGAAAGAGAGAAAGCAGTCTCTATAAGGAATAATCATGCTGCAATCCCTTCTCCTCCATCTGTCCCTCCTTTCAGAGTTTTCAGCATGGACACATATGCACACAGCATGGTTTTTCAAACTGCTTGGTCTGGGACTTGACCTGTGTGGTCAACCACATGGGATCTAGCCACCTTATCCCTCAGGCTACAGGCTAGCCAGATAACATTTTTTTTTTTTTTGCTATAGGGCATGTGCACTCACCAGAAAGACAGAGAGAGACAGAGAAACAGAAAGTGAGAAATCACTCCCCAGGAGAATGGCCATGCTGCAACCCCTTTCCTCAATCCTCCTCTCGGGATCTTAGGCACGCACGCACATGCACTCGTCATGAGTTTTAGCCACTGGATCCAGGACTCAAACTGTGGTCGACTACATGGGAGTCCAGCAACATAGCCATTATGCCAACTGCTGGTCCCAACTGTATTATTTTAATGTGTCTCGGTGAAGTCTTCTTGGGTTGGATCTGATTGGAGGTCTTTGAACTTCATATACCTGAGTATGTATAGCTTCCCCCAGATTTGGGAAAATTTCAGACATTATTCCCTTCTGAAATTCCTGTAATGTGAAAGTTAGCCCTCTTGATTGTGTATTTTATATCCCATAGGCTTTCTATATTTTTTATTATTTTTTTCTTTACCTTCTGACCAGATAATGCAAAATAATTTGTGTTCAAGTTTCTTTCTGCTGTATGATTGAATCTGCTGTTGAAGCTCTCATTGCATGTTTAATTCTGTTACTTCTTCAACATTTTCTTTTTGTTATTTATATTTTCTTTCTCTTTGTTGAACTCATTTTGTTCTTTCATTGTTCTCTTTTTTGCATTTTTTTATTATTTATTTTTATATACATTCAATCATATTGTTTAGCTTACAAAGTGAACATTTCTCCCCAGTCCAGTTGATCAACATATTTTCAATAGATAACACCATAATTCCCCATCCCGTCAATGGTCTTCCTCTGTATCCCTCCCCCAAATGACCTTCCCTAGGCCCCACTCCTCCACACACACTATATCTGGCATTTACACCCATATCTTGTGTTTGTATATTTTTTAGTCAATCAGTTTTGGTCGTAGAGTACCGACACTTGGTATAGATTAAGTGGGGACATACAATGTCTCTCCTTCATAGCCTGGCTTGCTTCACTCAGCAGTAAATCTTCCATATTCTTCCACTTTCTGTCAAAAGCCAGGGTTTTGTTGGTTTTTATGGTTGAATAGTATTCCATAGAGTGTATGTGCCACAGTTTTTCAATCCATTAGACCGTATGGGGGCATTTGGGTTGGTTCTATGTCTTAGCAATTGTGAATAGTGCTGCAACATCGATGTGCAAGCACTTTTCCAGTGAATAATTCTTCTGTCCTTTGGGTAGATACTGAGGATAGCGAGGAGTGGGATTGCTGGATCATATGGTAGTTCTATTTGTAGATTTTTGAGGACTCTCCAAATTGTTCTCCACAGTGGCTGGATCAATTTACATTCCCACCAGCAGTGCGAAAGAGTTTCATTGAGTCATTTATCTGTGTATTCTTGTAGCTTATTGAGCTTCACTAGAACAATCAGTTTTGAGTTGTTTGGTAATTAACAGAATTCCAAATCTTTTGAAGAGGTTACTGATACTTTTTGTGTATTCCTTTTGTGGTGTCATGTTTTCCTGATTGTTTGTGATCCTTTAGAGTTGCAGCAGTGTCTGCACATTTGAAAAAGCAGTCACCTTTTCCAGATTTATTGAATAGCTTCAATAGGGAAAAACCTTCACCACCTGTGGTGGCAAGGGGGCATGCTAGAGTGCACTGAGGCAGTGGGCCTAGAGAAACAGGGTACCAAGTGTGGGGGCGTGTAAAGACTCCAGTTTCTGGGAGATTCAATGTCTCATTTTCTAGCGTTACTGCTGCCATGAATAGTAATCAACATTTATTCGGTGATTACTATGCATAAGGAATAATTCTGTGAGTTTTACTTTTTTTTTTTCTTTTGGAGAGGTTTTTGCTATAGGGCGCGTGCACTCGCCAGAAAGACAGAGAGACAGAGAGACAGAAAGTGAGAAATCACCCCCCAGGGGGGATGGTCACGCCGCAATCCCTTCTCCTCCATTCTCCTCTTGGGATCTTGGGCATGCACGCACACACACCCGGCATGAGTTTAAGCCACTGGGTCCAGGACTCGAACCATGGTCGACTACATGGGAGTCCAGCAACATAGCCATTACAACAACTGCTGGTCCCAATTCTATGTTTTATAAACATTGGTTAATTGTCAAAGCGCCTCTATGTCATGAGAACTATTATTGAGAACTACTTTGTAGGTGAAGAAACTAAGGCATGGAGAGGTTAAGTACCTTGACTAAGGTTACAGACTGAGTACATGGCAGTGTCCGGATTTGAATGCAGGTAGCCAGTATTTAGGTTCAAACTTGTGCTCTTACCTATGTACTTGACTGCCTATCCTAAGGCATGAATGTGACCAGTTGTTTAATAAATCCTTTGCTTCACCCAGAAAGATCAGCTGTGATGCATAGTTCATTCTTTTCCCCATATGACTTTGTTAAATCAGTAAAGGAGAATCAATGTCTAAAGGATTATAAACGTCCCTTCTGACAGAAAAGTTTACAAGGTACAGATCTAATAGAAGTTCATTTAGGGTATACTACCATAGCCACACACTTTGTAAAAATTAACATGACTTAAGATATAATAACACTCAAATTTCTTGATGGCTGTTTTAGGTTATATGCCTTATAAGGGTGACTGGATAGAAGTTGAGTACTCCATCCCACCAGGCACCTCCAACATCAGGGCACACTCAGTGAAGCCTGTGAACTGTAGTCATATGGAGGAGGTAATTTTTTTTTCCATGTTGTACTTGGCACTGTTTTCTTCCAAATCTCCCTTTAGCAGTAATTTGCATGCCCAGAAATCTAGTGGGTGTTCTGAAAAATCTAGAAAGTATGAGAAAATATGTTCTTTATAAAGAGGAAGCTACTTTCTCATTGAAATGGAAGGATTTCCAAGAAGAAATAGCTAGAAAACAATGTATGTAACATGTGTATAATTAAGATATAGTTAAGTTCTAAGTTATATAATTTATTTGGTATTAGAATGTTATTAGGATATGCTGAAAACAACATAAAGCAAAGCAACTTGTGGGAAAGAATATTCTTGGGAACAAATGAATGGAATGGCTTATAAGATTAGAGATTAGCAGCAAAAGCTATGTATGATCTGTGGAGTGGAGCCTGAAAAGGAGAAGGAAATTCAGTTTGAACAAAAGGTACAAACTGTGTGTGTGTGTTTAGGGGGGGGGGACCAGCAAATGGCATAATGGTTACATTGCTGGACTTCCATGTAGTCAGCTGTGGTTCAAGTCCCAGATTCAGTGGCTTAAGAGTCACTCTGGGTGCATCTGCATGCATGCCCAGAACTTGAGAGGAGAATGGAGGAGAAGGGATAGCCACGTGGCCATCCCCACTAGGGGCTCATTTCTCACTTTCTGTCTCTCTGTCACTCTCTGTCTCTCTGGCAAGTGCACATGCCCTATAGCAAAAACTTCCCTTAAAAAATAAATTGTACAAATGGGCCAGGAGGTGGTGTGGTGGTTAAGACACTGGATCCTAAATGGCTAACAGAACAGTTCCAGTCTCACTCCCAGTGACTTGAAAAACATGTCAGGCACATGTGTGTGTGTGTGCTCATAATCCTGAGAGAATGGAGGAGAAGGGATTGTAGCCTGGCCATCCTTCTGGGGGGTTGATTTATCACTTTCCTTCTCTTTCTCTCTCTCCCTGGCAAGCACATGCATCCTCTAGCAAAAACAAACAAACAAACAAACAAACAAAACAACTTTAAAAAGGTACAAATGAAAGAATGAGTTTGGAATGTGAAATGTGGAAAACTTGATAGCATACAAAATGACTTCAAGAAGTTCATGGAGGGACCAGCAGATGGCATAATAGTTCCATCGCTGGACTCCCATATAGTTGACCACTGTTTGAGTCCAGACCTGGTGGCTTAAAACACACTGAGCACAGGTGCTTCCATGCCCAAAATCCCTAGAGAAGAATGGAGGAGAAGGAATTGTGGTTTGGCCATCCCCTCTCAGGGAAGTGGGGGGTGATTTTTCACTTTCGGTCTCTCCAGTGAGTGCATGCACCCTATAGCAAAAATCTCTCTAAAATAAAAGTTCATGGACATTGGAATTTAAGTGCAAGTTTATTTTTTGTGCAAAAACTTAAAATCCATGTATAGTTTTTTTCATAATACACATTTCCTGTAAACATTTTGAAGACCCCCTTATACTTAACTGCTACTGTTTTTTTTCCTCACTGAACTGTTCTGTCAACGCGAACTGCAGAGGGTAATGGCCATTGTGGGTAATATCTAGAGCAAGATTTCTCATGGAGACCTGGCTCCATTTCCAGGGATTCTGATTTTATAGTTCTGAGGTGAAATTATGGGTACAGGTACTAAGCACCCCTGGTTGTTGCCAGTGTGCCAGCCCCGTTGGGAATCAGTGCTGTGGATGGAGTGACCTGTAGATGAGAACCCAAGAGAGAAGGTGTAGGGCCTGCTAGAGGGCATTATGCTTTTAATAACCATTTCCACCATTGATCATTGCAGGTCTGCATTTTCAGCTTAAATGGAAGAAATGGGGTGATAGATGATACTATCTTCTTCACCTTGGATTCTCTGAAACTTCCTGATGGATATGTACCCCAAAAATATGACATCGTCAATGTGGATGTAGTGGAGAGTACTCAGTCATGCTGTATCTGGAGAGCAGTTTCTATGTCTCCACTGCACATGTAATAACAACAATTTGTTGGTCTGTGTTTATGTTTTCCTCTATAGGCATTAAAGGACCTGGTTTAATGTAAAAACTTCTATTAGTAAACCGAAACAATATTTGGCATAAAATTCATTGGTAAATCCAATTACGATATTAGATAGTTCATTTGGGACCATCAACCCACTGTAGGGAAGTGTCTTTTCCATAAAAAGCGTGCTAAAGCTAGTTACTATAGGAAAGGATTCTTGGAAATGACACTGCAATTAAATTTGAATTCTTTGTTTTCCATGGGCAAAGGTGGATTCCATGGTGGCAGAGGCCCTGAAATAAACATCAAAAGAAAGCATTTAACTCAAGAGGAAGTAAGGCTTGCATGCTAATGGCCACGATTGAAAGTTACAATTTGCTTTTAATTTTGAGTCTCTTCTAAGTTCCCTATTCTTATTTTTTTATATTCTGTCACATGCACAGTTGGCTAGTTGTGTTTATTATTCATCTGTGTCCCTCTTTTCCATGCTAGAATGTAAAATCTACAAGGAGAGGATTTTTTTGGTCTATTATTTCATTAATACATTACTGGGTACTTTAGAAGAGTGCCTGGCACATAACAGGGGAAGATGAAATGTTTTTAAATTCTATGAATGAGCAATCTGACACACAGTGATACTTCTTTTTTAAAAATAAAATAATATATTATTTTATTAGTTAGTATTATTATTTTAATTTGACCAGAGAGAGAGAGCGAGAAAGGGAAAGTGAGAAAGCAAGCTGCCAGGTCCAGGACTCGAACTGTGATTGACTTTATGGGAGTCCAACACCTTAAACACCATGCCACCTGCTGGCCCCAACAATGATATTCCACTGTGTTTAATATATCACTTGCTTTCTAGGAATAAAATTGTTAACCAATCCATTAAGACCCAAGTTTATTAATATTATTTTTATTTGTTACCCAAAAGACCTTCAGCTCAGGTGCATATGGCCCTGCTCGAGCCACTTTGGTGGAGAGCTGCAGCCCATGTGCAGACCTGAATTAGGAGACAGACCTGGGGCTCCTAGAAGGAAGGGGAAACTGCTTACCATGGGAAGGATGATATTATAATCCCACACAAGTGCACCCCATGAAATGCAGTGCCTTCACCTAACAGCGTATGTACCCAGGTAGCTGTCATCTAGGGGAAGGGCTGTATTCCCTGGAAAGTGGCTGTAGGCTCACCCCCAGTCCTGTGATTTATAATCCCACCATGATCCCCTGGATTCAGAACAGAGTTGGTTCTGAGTTTGCTTTACAGCTCTAGTGGGACCTGCCAACTGTCTAGTGGTTAGTTTCACCCTTTAGAGGAAGGTTGCATGACTATCATGTGGAGTTTGTTTTCATTCATTAATTCACTCCACACCTTCTTACTGATTCTATTTTATTTGCCAAGCTCTATTCTAGGCATGGGAGTTATTGTTTGCAACACATAGAAGTTCTAGATCCTAATAGAACTTATGTTCTGTTAATGCACCTGGGTTTCCTGTCAATGAAGCAGTAGCTCTTAGCACAGAAGGGGGAGGACAAGTGGGAGCTGTGGCAGCTCCAGGTCCCTGTGAAAGTTTCCATTTAAAAACAGTGTCACACCCTGTGGAAATTGGAGAGAAGTTCACAGCTATACTTGAGAGATGCATGGACCATAGGTTGTCCCACTTCCCCATTTCACTCTCCAGTTTGAATGGGACAATCAGATATTAAATGGTATGAAGTTAGCTTCAAATTCAAATATTTATAATACTGTTTCCATATGAAAGTCTCTGACTTTTGGGACCAGGAGTTGGTGTAATGGCTATGTTGCTGAACTCCCATGTAGTCGACTGCAGTTTGAGTCCCAGACCCTGTGGCTTAAACTCTTGCTGGGCGCGTGTGTGTGCATGCCCAAGATCCCGAGAGGAGAATGGAGAAGGGATTGTGCCATGGCCATCCACCCCTGGAGGGTGAGTTCTCACTTTCTGTCTCTCTGTCTCTCTCTGTCTTCTGGGTGAGCACATGTGCCCTATAGCAAAAACCTCTCCAAGAAAAAGAAAGTCTCTTTGACTTTCATGAGATATTAGCAGTGACATGTTTTTAAAGGATTATTTTTTATTTTAACTTTCTTTTTCTTTCTCTTTCTTCTTTCTTTTTCTTTCTTTCTTTCTTTCTTTCTTTCTTTCTTTCTTTCTTTCTTTCTTTCTTTCTTTCTTTCTTTTTCTTTCTTTCTTCTTTCTTTCTTTCTCCTTTCTTCCTTTCTTCCTTTCCTTTCTTTCTTATTTTAATTTGACCAGAGAGGGACAAGGTGAGAGGGAGAGAGAAAGTGAGAAAGCAAGCCGCCAGGTCTTTGGACTCGAAAGACGCTGGGAGTCCAGCGCCTTTAATCACCACGCCACCTGCCAGCCCCAGCAGTGACTTTTTTTTGGAGAGAGATTTTTGCTATAGGGTGTGGGCACTCACAGGAGAGACAGAGAGAAAGCCAGAAATCACTCCCCAGGGGAAATGGCCACACTTCAATCCCTTCTCCTCTACTCTCCTGCTGGGATTCTGGGTATGCACATTCAGGTGCCTGGCATGAGTTTCAAGCCACCAAGTCCAGAACTCAAACTGCTGTCAGCCATGTGGGAATCCAGTTCCTTAACCACTATGTAACGTATTGGCCCCAGTGGTGAAATTTTTATAGCTCAGATTGGCAAGTCCCCCCACCCACTGTGTATGTTTTTAATCATAAAACCTTTATTCTCAGTCAGGGCTCAGGTAGGTTTATGCAGCCATAATATGTAAAAGCAAAACAAAATTATTTTCAAATTTTCTCTGCTTCATGTGCTATATTAAATCAATTTTCAGATTTATAGAAACCCACTGTGACTAGTGATAATTTTTTGTTTGTTTTTAGATTTTTGCCATAGGGCATGTGTGCTTAGAGGAGGAAAGGGGAGAGAGAGAAGGAAAATGAAAAATCAATCCCTAGGGAGTATGGCCAAGCTACAATCCATTCTCCTCCTGGGATTTTGGGCACACATGCACATACACCTAGTGTGAATTTCAAGCCACCATGTCTGGGACTCCAACTGTGGTGGGCTACGTGGGAATCCAGTGCCTTAACCAACACAGCACCTGCTGGTCCCAACTAGTGATAGTTTTACAAAAGATCAGCAGTTAAATGAGAATGACTTGTTCAAGTATGAATACATCGATTAAAAGATGCAAAATTTTTAAGACCAGCAGTTAGTGTAATGGCTATGTCACTGGACTCCCATGT